AAACAACAACAGGTATCTAGTAAGTGAATTGCAGTATATAAGTCCTGGGTTGACCCATTGGTGTCACTCACAAAGTGGATCCTGTTTACTGGAATAGAACTCCTGATGTCTGGTCTACAGTGTGCTGTACACGGTGGTACAGCTTTAGTAAAAACATCTCCAGTGTAAAATCACTACCGTTCTGCACATAGCTGGGATACCTATCCATCCTGTACTGTATATGTTCTGTTGTTAAGTCACATCACTGTATAATACTGCAAGTCTTTACAAAACTGTAATGCTTTTGACATTTGAATGTTTGAGCAGAGCTGCTACCCTGTATACTTCTCTCAGTGAGGTTTCTGTCTGTGCCCTTCCTTTGGATCCTTCTAAACACTACACAAAGGCTTTCATCTGTCTGAATAAGTAACATAAAAACAGACCACAGGATTCTTGTTTCATGAATGCAGGAGAACGTAAAGGCACATACTGTCATCTCATCATCCACACACCCCTATGTTCCCTGCAGTTATTTTAAAGGAGCATTAAGTGATTTCTGAACTTTATCAAACCCTACAGGTAGTCAGTAGCGTGACAACCCTGCATCCTCGTACTCATAAAGTCATACATACTCATACATATCAGGGTATTAAGAATTCCTGACAGTATGATTTTCAATACCATCAAAAATACAGATGGTCCTCTATCTATTAAACTCATTGTATGTACTGCACATGATGGGCCATCAGAAGTCAGTCTCTAGCCTCCACTGGCGGCACAGGCCACCCTCTTCTCATCCCAACTCGTTAAATATCACTACCTTGTCAGTGCCGTTCAGGTCTATACAATAGGTGTCCTCCTACATTTGTTGTTGACATTGCAGGATGGCATGTCATTTTTTTAAATGCGTTATGCCTTTTCTAAATATACTTCCATTTTCACAGGAAATGTACAGTTTCTAATCGTTAGATGCATACAGTTTCAAAATAATCTTACAATGTCTGTAAAACACCTCATATTTATGTTTATTTCCTTGTACAACAAAAGCACAAGGTTAGGTTTAGAAAGAAACATCATGGTTTGGATCTACATTCACATGGTAAGCGAACAGAGGAACTGCCCATTGGTCCGACAGCCCATTGGTCTGACATCCCATTGTTCCGACCATATTAAACCCATTGTTCTGAAGTCCCATTGTTCCGAAATCATCATGATGCCCTGTGGTTATGGTCTGGTTAGGTTTAGGCACAAAAACCACTTGGTTAGGGTCAGGAAAAGATCATGGTGTGGGTTAAAATAAAAAAGAAAGTGACAAACACATAAGCCATGAGCCTGCTTCGCCTCAAGCCTTTCCCAGCTGACCCAGAGCCGGTTGCGGCACACCATCAAGGCAGAAATACGCCCGCCGGGAGCCGTTCAGCACCGCGGACCGTCGGACTAATGGGATGTCGGACCAATGGGCTGTCGGACCAACGACATGGACCCAGCAAACAGCAGGCTCCTGGGTGGAAGTCTGGGGTTTTTTGGACCCATCCAATACTCGTGCTGCCCAGCCCATAGGGATCTTTCAGCTCCTTATACTACTTTGTTACTGGCAGTGTTTCAAGCTGACACCATCCAGTGGCGTATCATACCACTGTGACAGGTGCTGTCTGGTCACGTCATTAACTGACGCTGCCTGTACTTGTATAGTACTGCCGTGACAGGTGCTGTCTGGCAGGCCAGCAGCGTATCATACTGCCCCGAAAGGTGGCTTTTGGTGTCGGTGTCTGACACCAAAATCACTGACCAAGCAGAAGTATTTGATGAGTTGGGAATGAGAAGCTGAAATGACAGACACTGTGACTCCAAGTGATGGGAATAACATTTCCAGACAGTGGAATCTGGCCTGCAACAGAGAGAGAGAGACCATATGGAAAAGCAACATATTTTCACATCTAACTCTGTGAATTGGGGATTTATTTTGACCAAACCAGATTTACTGAATGTTGGAACAGCGGACTAACTAACTAGACAACTACCAAGACTAACTGAGGCAGTTTTGGTAAGTTTTATTTTGTTTCTGTCCAGTTTGAATGAAATGTGTTTTAGGATGAATGAAATGTGTTTTAGGATGAGTTAACACTAGTCTCATTTCAGAGAAAAAGAGAAACTTGAATTCAGAAGGTTGTTTTTCTGTTAAATAAGAAATATATATATGTAACAATATTAACTTTCTCATCATTTAGTGAGTTTGTATTGTTTATTACTAGCATGGCTTTCAGAAGGCAGCAAACTCGGCAGGTGGGAGGCTGAAGGTGAGATGGATGTTGCTTAGCATGCTAATACTGTCATATACTGTGGACCTCAGTGAAATTTCAGGAAGGTATCCTTGATAATCTATACATACAATTCATGGCCAGAAGTATGTGGACATCATTACACCTATACCTAACTGCTGAAAATCTCATTCAAAAACCATGGGCATGGATGTGCTGCTTTAACAGCCTCTACTGTTCTGGTTTTAGGCTTTTCACCATGGTAAACCTGGCTGCAGGGATTTGCTCCCATTTGGCCACAAGGGCATTAGTGAGGTCCAACATTGATCTCAGGTGATCAGGTCTGACTCACAGTCAGTATTCCAGTTCATCCCAAAGGTGTCAGATGGGGTTAAGGTCAGGGCTCTTTGCAGGCCATTTACGTTCCTTCACCCCAAATTGGGAAAATAATTTCTTTCTGGAGCTAACTGTGTGAACTGAGGCATGTAAATGGTAAAAGGTAAATTAACCTGCACTTGTATAATGCCTTTCTAGTCTTCTGACCACTCAAAGCACTTTAACACTACATGTCACATGCACCTGCTACCCAGCTTAAACATTCATTATGCATTCACACACTGACTGGAAGCAAGCTGGGGTTCAGTATCTTGCCAAAGGATACTTTGACATGCAGACTGGAGGAGCTGAGGATTGAATTGCCAAACCTCCGATTGATGGTTGACCTGCACTACCCTCTGAGCCACAGGGGATTCATATATCCCAAACAGAAACTACTGCAGCATTAAGAATTCCCTTTATTAGAAATCAGGTGCTTGGACCAAACACTGAAAAACAGGGGTGTCTACATACAGTACCTTCGGCCATAAACATATTCAGCTACATTTGACCAATATTGGGTCAGTTGTACTCGATCAAATACAAGAAAGTCAAACTAAACTACAAACTATAAAGTAATTGTTATTGGTCATTGACACCAATGCTACCTACAACTCCACAGATCATGATGAAAGTCATACATATTACCCCTTTAAAGTTACATTTAATACTACATTCATTGGTAATGACCAGTGTCTCTCTAATTTATTTTCACCTGTGACTTGCATGTCACTTATCTGTTACCATAAAACCGCTACAGTTTGTCAGTCTGGGTTATCAGCACCTTTAGTACCTGTAAAAGCATCCTGGTTAAGTGGTTTCATAAAGTTAGCAACAGTGCTGAGTACAGAGTGAAAGGCAAATGAGCAGTGGGTCCTTCTGGAGTATAAATGTGAGTACACTGGCATCAAAGTATAATGATAAGTATATGTGGAACATTACCCTAAAGTTAGAACACAGGTTTGTCTGAAGCCACTCCGTGAGATTATAGAAAGGAAGTGCAACTTGACAATGTTTTATCGATATGACAACTTAAAGTGAAAGTCTGGGAAGATACTTTTTTGCTCTCTGTCTGACAATCAGACAAAAAGATGGATATCAGTCTCATGTCTGTGTGTTTAATAGGAAGTTGGGGTTAGGGTGTGGTTAGCCTAGCCTAGTATAAAGACTGGAAGCAAAGGAAAACAGCTCACCTTGCTCCTTCCAAAGTGAAAAATATGATAAGGCTATGAACACTTTCAAAGTTCACTAATTAAGACATTGTTTCTTTTTTGTTTTATCTGTACATGAACAGAAGTGGAAAAATGAGAAATTGGTGGTTTTGGGATTTGGTGCTGGCACTATTTAATGGCAAACAACAATCAGTCCATCCATCCAGTGTTCTGTGCAGTGTCACTAGAGTGCGTGAGTTAGCAGCAACAATCTGTGACGTTTTGGCCTCTGTACTGGCATCATCATACAAAACCTGGCTACCTCACTGTGCACTGTGCACAATCACTGCCTCTAGCTGTTTGCCAATAAGCAGTTCCAGTTCTCACCCTACAATTATCAACTGTCAGTTTTACATTTTTGTATGGATCACTGTTTCTGCAAGGAATTTAAAAAAATGAGATATGACGTGTTAATTAGTGAGCACTCAGGTTGTTGATGGGAATATTTTTGAATTTTGGATAGAGAAAAGCTAGTTGGTCTCCCCCCTAAGTATTTATGCTTAGCTAAGCTAATTTCTCCAGCTCCAGACTTTTATCCTTTCATCTCACTCTGGGAAAGAAACTCAATGAGTGCAATTCTGAAATTGTTGAATTGTTCCTTTAAAGGTCAAGTGTGTAAGATTTAGTAGCATCTAGCAGTGAAGTTGCAGAATGCAACCCACCAAAACCTCTCCTGTGTGCCATGCTTTTAGAAGAACTACAATGACTGACGCAAAAATGTGAATAGCACTATTTAGAGCCAGTGTTTGGTTTGTCCATTCTGGGCTACTGTAGAAACAACATGGCGGACTTCATGGAAGAAGACCTGCTACCTATGTAAATATAAACTGCTCATTGTAAGGTAAAGAAACCCAACACATTCTCACTCTGGCCTCATCACATATTGACATCTGGTCATGGACTTTCCACTTCGAGATATGACATGCAAGGTACCCTGGGTGCGTGGGTTGTTGATGTTCTGGGACACTGTGTCAACTTTAGCCTGTTACATGCATTGTCTGTTTTCAAAATACACTTCTGTTTTCACAGGAAATGTACAGTTTTCATACAGTGTCTTTCAAAACAAACATACTCCATCGGTACAACACCACAGACTGATGTTTTTTTCTTCAGCAACAAACACACATGGTTACATTTAGCCAACACGCACATGGTTGGGTTTAGGCAACAAAAGAACAGGGTTTGGCTTTACAATCTTAGGGGAAACACCAGCAAACACCAGCCTCCCAGGTGAAAGTCGGTGGTTACTGGACCCATTAACCACCTCTCCCACCCACCCTAGTTGAACTTTACCGCGTAACTTTTGTTGCTGTCCCTTTTGTCAACTTTTGTTGACCCTGACGCCGCCAGCCTCTGTTAAACAATAACAGCGACCGTATCATGTCGATGTGAAAGGGTGGCTTATTTCGTTGGTGTCTGACGCGGGAGGTCACTGACCAAGCGCCAGTATTTGACGACTTCCGAGTGAGACCAGGTTGGGAGAACACAACAATTTTTAGTTTCAGGTGATTATATGCTTATGAAAACATAGTTATGAAACATATATTCTATGTATGCCAATATATCTCACTAAATCCTACACACAGTACCTACAATACATTCTTTGAAAAAAACTCTTCTGACATCTGAAGTATTTCCGTCCACAAAAACTAATATGACACCTTAGACCTCAGCAATAAGACACCTACAATAAATACTATTCCTCTTGAAAACATAACAAAAAAGGAAAATACAGTGACCTGAACTTTTGCAGCACATTATACACAACACAAAGACATGGCTGAAATACTCACAGCATACTTGCACAGTGACAAAGAAGGGGCAGAGTGGTTTAGACTTTGACAACGTAATACAGCAAATAGTTAGATAACAGTGTTTGACTCCTGCAGAGGTTCCACTGATGTCCATCAATATGTCCTCATATAAAGGTATATTTGATATCCTATGAATTAGGACCCCACAAATGACATTACGTCCTTAACATTAACTTACATAAAAAATGTAAAATTACATTGGTTATGTTTAGGAAAAGAAACTTGATGAGGACATACCTTAAAATAACTCAAAGTTGACTCAAAGCTTACACAGTCCCTGGGAGGGAAAGTCCAGTGTTTTGTAACTCACCCACCATCCCAACCTGCCTCTTAACTGGACCGGTCCAGACAGTTTCCTTCTTTACTCCTGTCAGAGCATTGGTCATGTGATCACAGCCTTCCAAAATACATGAGTTATGCACGAGTTACTGCTCACCATTACATGGGATATGTACAAATTTTGGTGCATTACTTTTCATTGGAATATGCACCAACAGTTCGTGAGAACAGCCTGTGCCCATCCGCACATTCAGTTCTGGGGTCATGTTTCATTGTATGATCTTTCTGCATTTTTTCATTCACACACCACAGCAGATTAAATAAAATGAAATTAGCCTACGAAGTAATTGAATGCATAAAACCCTAAAGATACATGATGGAAGAGTACTGCCTTTCACTTAAGAATGCTCCTTTGACATGGGACAAGAATTATTCTAAATATATAAAGCACCTTAAATTACCAGTGATCAAGGAAATTTTGTGCAAATTCAAAATTTCTGATTCAGCAAAGGAAAAGATGAGGTTTGAATTGAAAATACATTCCTTCTTCAACTGATATTGCAACTGCTGCTTCCAATTTTTAAGACTGATAAAAAAGAGATTTACTCTAGAAGGAGAGGGGAAAAAAAGCAGAAATCAGGCATTTAAAACCATTATGGCAAAAGAGTCATACAGGATTAGCAATACCAAGGGACCTCTAACAAGATAAAGTCAGGATTTGAAACTAGTGCCTGTTTCTAAAAAATCTCACTATAAGACAGACATCCCCTTGCAAATGCAATGTAATGCTACTATAAGGAGTATGCAGATGATGAAAGGGTACCCCTGATAATATTATGCAATTTATACCCATGCAAATTAAACTCCCTCTACACATGCCTCTTTCTACCATCATGCAAAACAGAATCTGCAGTGGAATCTGCAGAGGAAGGTTTTGAATATTTTGCTTTGCTCAACCATAAATGATGAATTACTTGCTCTTGCTCTTATGTGAGCATATGGAGGGTGTCAGTGAGAATACATTCCTTAATATCCACAGGTGTGGTTGCTTTTCTTTAGTACATGTGGTCCTCACATGACTTTAGTCCTATGGGTATCAAGCTTGGGATTGTCCTCAAGACTTTTCTTCCTGAGGCCATCCAGGTACACCCTCTACAACAGGACAGGCTGAGTAATAAGGAAGCAGTGTCAGCCTCTGGTCTTAACTTGTCCATCTGTGAGACTTCAACGTCAGTAGTTTTCCCAAGTGGAGGATCAGTCGTAGATTTATCCTCCATCACTTCCTCGAAAGACAGAAGGGCTCTTCAGTGTGACACTGCAGAGCATCTGTTCTCTCTGCCCTTTACATAGGCCTACATCCACTAGATGTGAGGTTGTGACGCAGGGCTGCAGGCCTCAGATCAGCCTCTCCTCTGGGGGTACTTTAAGGACGCTACCCATCTCTAGCCTGGCGCCAGCTACCTCCTGTGAGCTGGGGCTGTATGTACCCTCTGACTGACGCTTCTTCCGTGCTGTCATGATGAGGCAAAACACGACCACGATGGCCAGTAACACACACAGTGTGGTCAGGGGAATGGTCACCACCAGCCAGGGGACTCGCTCCTTATATTCCTCTTTCTGCATAAGGACAGGACATTGTGTCATGAATAGGTAGCCATACCTTCTTTAGTACCATTTTCAATAGGGCATAGCTCTAACTAATAGGTTTATCAGTGGTTAATAAATCATTTGTTCATGTTTTAAAGATCAGTTATAAGAAATCAGGTTTGCCTGGTTTATTCTCCTCCAGCATGACAGTTGCCCTGTCTGTAGAGAATGCGGACAAAAATCAATTTATTAACAACTGAACTAATTTTGCAATGAGTCATTATGTCTGCAGATATAATGGGAATATGTTACTGATAAAATCACTTTCAGTCTAGATGCTCTGCTGTACTGACAAAAAGGCAGAGGTCAACAAATTCATAGTAGTGGTCCTCCTGATGACCAATCTGAACAAATAACACTGGAAAAAATGGTTTGTTTTAAATTTCTTCACAGTGTTTTATTAGTATTTGCTGTTATAATAACACTTTTCATTAATTAAACAAATATTCTAAACAATCACCTGTAGCTATACAATACCATGACTTTATTTTAGTGACTTTCGGTTATCAGTTATAATTAAAAAGTTTACATGATTCCCTGATGTGTTGAAAATTATACAACCTTTAGTGCTATTTTAGTCATCCTGACATGTTTCCAATTTGGAAAGGTCTACACTGGACTGGGATATAACATTATGGGAGAAACGGTTAGTAATGCTGTTTTGTTGGTCCTTTATGTTTAACATTTTTCAGGTCAAGGACCCCTTAGTTCAAAGAAAGATGGAGCAGAAAACCCCTACTACACATATTATATGAATTGAGTTGCATGTGGGATAGTTCTCTAAATATTTTTTGGTCTTCTCTCGATTACGCTTGCCTGTAACTGCAAAGTCAGCAGCAGTTCTTAGCATGGCTAAGCGCAATTGCTTCACCCTCTGTACTTTTTGCTAGTGGTTTCTGAGGTGGATGGTGTGTCAGAATCTCTTGCTCAAAAGGTTACAAAATGATCCATTGTGTCCCACAAGAATGTTCGTACATTTGGAATAATAATACAGCTAAATGGCCAAAATGTTTCAATAGCACATAAATGTTAGCTAACTAGTTCACCTCGCTGAACGGTGATTTAGTTTTAGCTAGCTCACGATTGCCCAAAGATTCATGGGTAACAGTTGGCCTATCGTTAATGTTATAAACTCTGAACCAAATTATGCAATATTTAATATACAGTAGGTTCCTCACTGTTTAACTTGCTCGTGAAACCTGCCACCTCTTAGCCTTCACAAGAGCATCAATATTAGGCGTGAAAAGTCAACCAGTATGCCGGCTTGGACCCTTTGTTGGGCCAATTCTGGCGCGTAGGCCATATGTTTGACACCCCTGTTTAAAACCATACTGTCATGTGCTGTTTCTCTGTGTTTTTCCTATTTCTTGATCACGGCTTCTGTGGCAGCTCAAGGCTTCTTAAATTTCAGCCATGAGTATTAAATCCATCAGTCAGATGCAGGTTCTCATTTAGTTCGTGTGCTGTGAAAAGGAATTAACTCAAAGCCAGTGTATGTCACTCACATTTCTCTCACACAGTGTGCCACTGAATCCCGGCACACACACACACTGGAAATGGTTGAGTCTGTCCAGACAGGTGGCACCGTTGCGACAAGGGCTGGACTCACACTCATCTATTTCTGTCTCACACCTGAAACACATCAGAAGGGTTTTAACACAACACTGGCTGACAGAGTAGCGGCTCTCCTGACCTTCACACTTGGATGTGGTCCAGACACACTCTCCCCTGAGCAGCAGGTGTGTGGTGAGGAATGTTGAGTGTGTTGGTCTCACCTGGCACCTGTGTATCCCGGCTTGCAGGTGCAGTTGCCTCCAGAGTCACCTCCAATACAAACCCCTCCATTAAGACACTCCGTGTTTTCATCACACGCCACAGGAGGGAAACGCCACCTATTGGACACACACACACATATACACATTACATTCTTGTATATAATATTGTACTTATACACATGGACACATTATGAGACGGACACATTATGAGACAATGGGTCTCTGGGCACAGACATGCAGAGGGCCCTACTATGTCTACTACACAAGAACAAGAGGAACAAACTTTGTGGTGGAATTGCCTCTTTTTTTCCCGTTTTGCATCTCTTAGTAGTTGGATTGTGTTTTAAAGGTAATTTTGTGGCTTTTTTGGTTGTTTTATGCCTCTTTGAGGTTGTTTTGTATCTGTGGCAATTTTGTGTCTTGCTGTCATTTTTATTTTTTTATTTATTTAATCCATTTTTAACCAGGTTAGTCCCAACATAAAACATAAAAGATACTCACTAAGATATAAATGAATACATTTAAATTAAATAAATTTAAATTTAATTTAAATTAAATTTAAATACCTACAGGCATCAACAAATACCAACCGATTCATTCCCCATTGTACTTATGAGACCTTTAAAACCAGACATAGGGACCAAAACCTTCAGTTTCAATACATCTTGTAGGCCATTCCAAGTGAGGGGAGCAGAGACCTTAAAAGATTTCTTTCCGAATTCAGCCCATGCACGTGGGACAGACAATAAAACCAAATCTTGCAATCTCAGACTATAACTACAGTCAGAACTCTGAGCAATCAAAGTGCAAATGTACGATGGTAGTTTACCCAGAATGGCTTTATAAATAAACAAATACCAGTGACTGAGCCTACGCGTAGTCAAAGATGGCCACCCAGCCTTGGAGTAAAGCAAATTGTGATTTGTGATATTGGGCTTTATAAATAAAATTGATTGACTGATTGATCTAAATAGGCCTCACAGGTATCTATACCAGCCAACACTGTCCACATGAGCCACTGAAAGGTGGCAGGGGCATTACACATGCCAAAGGCCATCACAGTATGCTGAAGAAAATTGTCAGGTGTGACAAATGCAGAGATATCAGAGGCCATTCCTACCCTGTCAATGCAGTCCTCAACGCGTGGAAGAGGGAATGAGTCAGGCTTAGTTACACTGTTGACCTTTCGATAGTCTGTACAGAACCTAGGAGTCAAATCAACTTTCGGAACCAATAAACATGGTGAACTCCAAGAACTGTTACTGGGAAGTGCAAGACCATTGGCAAACAAGTATTCAACCTCCTTTTTTATCAACTCACACTTGACAGGATTTACACGGTAGGGATGCTGCTTGATAGGAGCGCTATCACCTACATCAATGTCATGCTGCAGTACATTTGTGCGAGTGGGTACATCTGAAAACAAAGCAAGATGACCATGTATCAGCTGAAGAACATCCTCCTTTTGAGAAGATAAGACAGATGAGTCTCTAGATTTTCACTTGTGAGTTCTGGAGCCGAGCACCCAGGGCAGCCGTGTTTTCCTTGGCTAAACCATCATCACCAGGGCAAGTGGAAACAACTGAAACTGCAGCGACACAACTCAGTTCCTTTGATGGACTTTGTCCCTCTTGAAACCAGACAGCATAAGACTTCAGCATATTAACATGACAAACACGAGACTTACGCTTCCTGTCTGGAGTACCAATGACATAATCTGTGTCACTCAGTCTCTTCTCAACCACATAAGGCCCAGCAAACCTGGCATGTAACACTGACCCAGGCATGGGCAGAAGAGCCAACACTAAGTCCCCAGGCTGAAAAAAACGCTGCACTGCATTTTTATCAAAGTGCTGTTTCATTTTAGACTGGGAGTTTTCCATAGCATGTTTGGCTATGCTGCATGCATGATGGAGACGCTCTCGAAATGAACTCACATAGTCTAGCACATTGACGTGAGATGGGGAATCTGCCATTAGCTGTTCCCGCAACAGTTTCAATGGCCTTCTGACGGTGTGGCCAAACACCAACTTGGCCGGGCTAAACCCCAATGACTCTTGCACAGTTTCACGGACTGCAAACAACAGAAGGAGAATGCCGTCATCCCACCCTGGACCATGTTCAAGACAGAACATGCGTAACATAGACTTGAGGGTCTGGTGGAACCTCTCGAGAGCTCCTTGGCTCTCAGGATGATAAGCACTAGAAACCTGATGCTTCACAGCCAGAACCTCTAGCACCTGGTTGAAAACTTTGGACATAAAGTTACTCCCTTGATCTGTTTGAATAATTTTCGACAAGCCAAAATTAGTGCAATATTTCACAAGCTCCCTGAGGCCTTAGCCTTAAGAGAGCGCAGAGGTATTGCCTCCGGGTAGCGAGTGGTGGCACACATGATGGTCAAAAGGTACTGATGACCAGATTTTGACTTTGGTAGGGGCCCAACACAATCTACAATAAGCCTCTCAAATGGCTCTCCTGCTATAGGAATGGGCTGTAGGGGCGCTGGAGGTATCACCTGGTTAGGTTTGCCTGCTAACTGACATACATGGCAGGCGTGACAATACTCTGCAACAGCAGCCTTTAGACCAGGCCAAAAGAAGTGCTTTAAAGAATCAACAGACAGCATTTTTGCCTATATATATCATTATGAAAATAATGTGGGTTGCACAGGGTAGTATACACAGTAAAATCAGACTATCAGCGTTTACATAGGTTACTTAATGGCTTTGCAATCTTTGCAATAAGCTTCTGCCACCAGGGACGAATTTTCGTGGAAAAAAATCTGCTTTACGGCAGGAAATGCGTCAAACTGGTCGGTCAGCCAATCAGGGACTGGACAGTGTAATGTCTAGTGAGCAGGTGCCTGTTGTATAGTGAGCCGGTGACTGTTGAAAAATAACTCTGCTGCGCGTCGGGGTTCCATTCCCCTGTTGGGAGTTATTTTTCAACAGTCACCGGCTCACTATACATTATCACTTACGTGTCTACTGTTGTTTGTACTGATACTGTGCATATTGATATAATTTACTGTGAGTTGTTTGTATTGGTACTGTGCATTCTGGTATAATTATTTGCATTACTATTTGTTTTTTTCTTCAGATAAATCTGATAATTGTTGCTCGGTCTCTTTACTCATTTATTTAGTATAGTGTCCACACACCTTCTCATTCTACATATGCATAGAGGTATACTGGTGGCTTTACAGCCTACATTTTATTGATTATCTCTGATCCCCACGGTCAATTTGGTCTTTGCGACGGTGCGAGCAACACTGCTGACGCTAGGTGGCGCCAAGCTAAAAAAAAAAGGAATCCTATCTGTTGCCTCTTTAATATATGATTGTAAGTTTTGGTAACCCCTAAATGACCAGACATAGCATTATCATGAGCTAAGTTAAGTATCTGCAAACGGTAAACAGAGGGCACAACGACTTGGTAAGTAGTGCTCCAGTTAGACCCAGAAGAAGCAGTCCACTTGCGCATAAGCACATCACCTTCCATATAGAAACCAACACGAACAGACAGCAACTCATTCTTTGGTTTAACAGCTGCAAAAGACTTGGCTAAAGAAGGATCAGCCCTCTGTGACCTTGCTAGCTATACCCTACCTAGCTGTAGTGGAGTTTCAGCTGAAACACCAGGGTTAGACAATGTCAAATCAACAACTTTGAAGGCAGGGGATAAGTCATCCTGGTCATCTTCACAGTCAGACTTGACTGCATCAACAGCAACCAGCTCTGGTTCAGCTGTATCAGGAGGATCAGCCAAAAATGTTTCAGAGATGTTGACAACATCAGCTTCTCAAGACTGTGCATGAGTCACAACACAAGCAGGGTAAATAAGAGGTTGCAGTGTTCTGTCACCAGGGTCAGGCTGTTCAGAAGGAACAGGGTTTTCTGTCACAATCAGTGGAGGGAACACCTTTCTGCCTGCTAGGTCATTACCTAAAATGAGGCTAACCCCCTCAACTGGAATGCAGGGACGCAAACCCACTGACACAATCCCTGTGACCAAACCACACTTTAAATACACAGAATGCCGGGGTGCCCTGACATAGGACATTTCACAACCCAGTATCAACGCATCACCACCAAGGAAAGTCTCTTCACACAAAGGTAACACTCCTTTTAGCAGTATGGACTTGGATGCACCAGTATCCCGCAAAATACGAATCGGCACAGCAGGATCAGATTCGGACAGTGCTACAAAGCCATCAATGATAAATGGTTCAAAGCTGGAAGGTTCTGAACCATGTGAACAGCATTATGGTGGCTTCTTGCAATAGAAACAAATCCTATCTGAAACTCCATTCTTAGAGCTTGAAATTTTCTTGGCAGAAGCATAGGGAGTGGAACTACCATTGGAAACCTTACTGGGAAAACAAGATCTCTGTGCAGCTGTATGAGTCTTAACCTCAGGGTGAAACATACTCATCAGCCAATACAGCAGCGTCCTCTACAGTTTTTGCTCTCTGCTCACTTAAATAAGTGGAAACCACCTCTGGAACACAATTTTTGAGCTCTTCCAGAAGAATCAACTGCAGCAACTGCTCTTTTGTCTCCACTCTTTCAGAGGCGCACCAACGGTCAAACAAAATTTCTTTTTTCCCTGGCAAATTCCACATAGGTTTGCTTTTCACCTTTAAAGTAGCTATGAAAACATTGCCTATAAGCTTCTGGCACAAGTTCATAGGCCCTACTTTACTTTTATCAAAAGTCAATGAAGAGTACACTGGTTGTCACTCGTTCAAAATGTGAAAAAATGTGAAAAATATTTCTCAACATCTTTTACATTGAAAGGAGGGACCATTTTTATATTTTTACCCACATCAAATTTGGAACTGTTAGAGGCAGCAGAATTGTCAGTAGCTTTACTCACTACTTGAGCTTTTAACTCCATCTTCTTGAGCTCTCACTCGTGTGCGAGTTTAAGTTTTTCGCGTTCCATGCTGCCTGAGCTGCTGCCTTTCCTTTGCCTCAATCTCTAATTCTAACTTCCTCAACTGCAGCTTTAACTCAAGCTCCCTCACCCTTAGGATTTTGTCCTTAGTAGCTTCATGCTCACACTGTTGCAACTCTTCCTGTTCTCCCTCAGAGAATGCAAAATCTTGCTGATCGGGCACCTCAAGTTTTTCAGAAAAAACACCCTGCTCAATCAGACCATCAATAATTTTTGTACGCAATTCCGCTTTTTTTAAATTGCCTTGAACATCAATATCATAGTGTTCTGCTACACAACGAAGATCTTTTTTTGTGCAACGAAAGAGTTGCTGAGCGTCAGGGTCCTTAACAAACCTGTCCAGCTCAAATGCCATGATGGCACACACAAAAATGGATACTACTAGTACTATTCAATGAGCAACAAGATAGTAGCACACAGACATTTAACTCTGGCATGCTAACCATGAAATGGCATCTCCTATCTCTTTGAATGCCACCAAAAATGTCTCCACTGAGACTCTAGCCTGGCAAAGGGGCTCCCAAAAGCTGTACAAATAATGACTATAAGCCACAAACGAATTACAGCCACCACACAAACATTAAAAAAAAACTGTCACACACTAAGTACAGCCAGTACTAAATACCCTCCAAAGTACCACACAACATGCAGACTGCAAAAGCAGAACTACACAACAAACAACTCACACTGTCAAAAGTGAGTACAAGCCACAATGGTTGCTAAATTAGTAGCCACACACAAAAGGTACAAGGGCTAATCAACAAAAACTGCTTTTTTTTGTTTTTGTTTTTTGAACGCTCAACACTATCCAAGTGCAGAACGCTGCAAGTGTGTGTTCCACCAATCAGTGCTCTTCAGCAAACATCCCCGCCCCTCAAGAATTCTGGGTAATCTGAAAAGTCCTACCCCCCTACTAGATCCTTTTTTCAGGGAAAGTCTGGGGTTGAGGGAAAGTTCAAAATCTGAGGTTTTTCAAAATCCTGGGTAATTGATAAAAGTTCCTGTGGTGGAAAGGGGGCTTATGTGGTTGTTTTGTGTCTCTGTGAGGGCATTTTGCATCTCTTTGTGATTGTGATTGTACTGGCATACATCAAGTGGCCACAGACAAAGTTTGTGTTTGTTGAATGTATAACTAGACAATTGTCTGTTGACACATTTGCCATATAATCTTCATAAGAACATACTATGTCCATTTTTTGTTGACAACTGGCTCCACTGACTTCAAGTGGCAAAAAGTTAATAAATCAATGCACATTTAAGACTGAGTAAAACCAGGTGTAGTCACTGTGGTGGAAGGTCACACATGAGAATTCTTGAGAATTTAACCAAAAGCTACAAAGCCTAAAATGTGCTGTAGAGAGTCAATAGAAGTCTGTACTTACTGGCAGCGTTTGCCAATGTAGCCAGGAGGACATGAACATGTGTGAACTCCCACTGTGTCCACACAGGTTCCTCCATTCACACAGCTGAACTCCAGGCAGTTATCCACCTCATCCTGACAGTCTTTACCTGTGTACCCAGGCTTACAGTCACACTGGTAGTCTGCCAGAATGTCTTTACATGTACCATAGACACATGGACCTGAAGAACACTCATTTATCTCCATCTCACACAGTTCCCCCTCCCATCCTGCACTGCAGCTGCAGTTAAACTCATTAAACTGATCCTGACATATACCCTGATTGAGGCAGGGCTGGGAATCACAAATCGGTGCACCTTGGCATCCTATGATTGGCTCGTGCCCACCCAGTCTGGAGAAGCGGCTAATCTGAGGGGCATCTGGAACATTTACGAGTGGCAGGTAGACTCCACCTACTCTCACCTCCCCTAAGCATCCAGTGTATTTCTCAGCCAGCCATATTTTGGTGTCACTGAGGAAGTTGAGGTTGCCGCCAACACTGAAGCTGCCACCAACTCTCTGTCCATCTACAGTGAGGTGCCAGCGGGACGCTAACTGTGTGGGATCGACCATGGTAAGCTGAATGTGATGCCACCCTCCGTCTGCAATGGCCCTGTCACTTGTGAAGGCCAGCAGCTCTGCACTCGTCCCGCTGTCCATTTTGACCAGCAGGGAGGAGTTGAGCAGACCCAGGCAGAAGACCTCGGCTTTGCTTTCAGCACGCAACAAGATCCCATTCTCATCCCGTGTCCGTAAATCCATGGTGACGTTGGTTACAGGGCTCAGAAAGGAGCTGTTGGCAACATACTGTAGAGCATTGTCCTGAAAAATGGCCTCAGTTAAACCTGTGGAAAAAGAAGATAATGTGAGCAGTTTTGAAAAGTTACTGGTATTTTTTTGGACTTGTCAAAGGCCTTTGACACAGTCAATCACAATATACTTATTACAAAATTACATAAATATGGTTTTCAAGGTGTTGCTTTGAAATGGCTGCTTAATTATTTAAAGGACAGAGAACATTATGTATCATTTAACAGGCATTCTTCACATAGAGCGAAGATACTTTGTGGTGTTCCCCAAGGCTCTATCCTTGGACCTCTCTTGCTCTTGATTTATATCAATGATTTGCCAATGTTTTGCAAATTTTTTTTTTTTACTTCTTTTATTTGCTGATGACACATGCCTGGTTGCATCACATAAAAATGTTGATACTCTGTTTCAAGAAGCTAATGAGGAATTATCATCTATTTCAAATTGGTTTTGTATGAACAAACTCTCTCTTAAAGGACAACTTCGGTATTTTTCAACCTGGGCTCTATTTCCCTATGTGTATGTGTGCGTATGATTCATGGGTACCACTCGTTCTAAAATTGGTTCAGTATTGAGCCACGAAAAGAGCTAAAACGGTAATGGGGGCAAATGCGTCCCGTATAAAAGTGCTTTTTTTCGCCACTGACCGGTTCAGATTGCCAGTGCTATCTCTGTAGATAGCATATTGTAGCGGCCCTCGGGCAGTGGTGACTGTGAATGAGTGGAATCAGCTGTCAGTCAGTGTTGGAGCAGAGAGGCGGAGGGCGTCCCCACTTGGTATTGTAAATGAGTATGTGTGTGTGAAGTGTGTGTTTTTTTCGCCACTGACCGGTTCAGATCGCCAGTGCTATCTTTGTAAATAGCATGCTAACTTAGCCTTTCCCTTACCTCTGGGCTGTGTGATGTCACGAGCTTTGCTCCACTGTGTCTGTAGCTCTCTCTACTCGTGGGACAGCCGTTTTCTTGAGGAAGAGGTGTTTCGGGATTGGATGTCTTCTCTTCTTCAGCTGGCAGTAGTCATCTTGGGAGAAGTGAGCACTGCAGACCCGATGGTCTGCAAGGCGCAGTGTCTGGAGAGGAGTGTTAGCATCCATTTGTAGCACAACTAGCCACAACTTCAGCATCTCGCCGTCCGACAAAGGCAGACTATGAAAGCTGTAACTTACGGGGTGTTGCGCGACATCCTGTTCTTGCGTTCGGGAAAAAGGCCCGTTTATTTAAGCACTCCAAAAACTTCAGTAACACTCCAGGGGGTAGCACGTAAAAGACTCTGTCCTCTGACTCTTCTAGCGTAACACACACTTCACACACACATACTCATTTACATTACCAAGCAGGGATGCCATCCGCCTCTCTGCTCCAACACTGACTGACAGCTGACTCCACTCATTCACAGTCACCACTGCCCCAGGGCCGCTACAATATGCTATCTACAGAGATAGCACTGGCGATCTGAACCGGTCAGTGGCGAAAAAAAGCACTTTTATACGGGACACATTTGCCCCCATTACCGTTTTAGCTTGTTTCGCGGCTCAATACTGAACCAATTTTAGAACAAGTGGTACCCATGAATCATACGCACACATACACATGGGGAAATAGAGCCCAGGTTGAAAAATACCGAAGTTGTCCTTTAATTTAAATAAATCTAATTTTGTGCTCTTTTGCGCTAAAAACAAAAAATATTCAAAAGAAAATGCCAAAATTATCTTAGACAACAAGGAAATAACTCAGGTTCCTCATATTAAATTCCTAGGAGTCATTGTTGATGAGAAGTTAACATGGAAACTCCATATAGATGCAAAAAGACTATGAAATCAATTGCTATCTTGAGCAGAGTTCGTTCACTGACCAATCATTCTTGCCATTTAACCTTGTACTACAGTCTAATCTTTCCTTATATTATGTATTGTAATTCTGTTTGGGGCGCTACATGCTCTACCTATCTTAATAAGATTCTATTAGTCCAAAAAAGATTTCTGAGAATGATTTGTCTTGTTAATAGATGTTACCCTTCAGCTTCTTTATTCAGAAGATACAAACTTTTATCTATCTATGATGTAAACAAATACCAGATTTGTGTATTTATGTATAAATTCATACATTTAACTCATGGCTTACCAAGTGTTTTTCAAAATGTTGTCATTTTTTCTTCTGATATTCACTCATACTCCACTAGACAGTCCAAAGACATTCATCGCCCTTTTTGTCGGACTTCCCTTGCTCAATTCTCACTGAGTTATAGAGGACCATCTCTCTGGAACAACCTATCACCATCTCTTAAAGCATCATCCTCACTGGCAATCTTCAAAAATCAAATGAAAATGGAAAGTGGAATTATTATTTTTTTCCTTGTTTGCATTGTCCTTGTTTTTGGTCTGACTATTTCTTAGTTGTTTGTGCATTGTCAAACACGTAATCTTATATTGATTTTGTTCATTTCATTTGCTCTTGTTTTGTCTTGATTTTTTTTACCCTAATTCCTCCTCCTTCTTGTCCTTCTGCTTTCCTTCCCGCTTTTTGTTTTTTTGTTGTTTTGTTTTGTTCATTTCTTATCCTTATTGTATGATTTAATTGAGGGGAGGTTCTTTGATAAGCTTTTAGTGGCTTCTAACCTCTCCGGCACATTTCCCTTTTAATCTTGTAAATTTTTTTAACATTATGTGCAAATAAAACTAAACTAAACCAAGAATTATGTGTAAGTCATATGCTGATTCAAAACTTTGTATGATATAAGTCATGATTAGAAATTAAACAATCAGTGCACTGATTGGAAAACCACTTGCTGATGTGCTGTCCCTTGAAAAAAAGTGCCAAGCACTCTTTTGGGTAAGTTCAGATATGTGTAATTAATGATTGCACACTGATGACCTCAATTTAGTTGCTTTGTACAATTTACAATTTACATTTATAGAATCCATTTTTTTTCCTCATTATGGTATCAGTATATCAATATAAGTGTATCTGTCTTGCTTTTATTTTTGCAGACACTTTGGATGTTCTACCAAGATGTTCTCCAAATAACCTAAAAAGTTGTGTTAGCCAGTTGATTATCACAGCTGGGAATACTTTAGTCAAGGACAAAAAATGTAAGCGTAATAATACACACACATCTGGATTGCCACACCCAATGGAGCAGGAACAAACGCCATTAATATAAGCACGGGCTGGCTTTGAAATTCTACTGCAGTAACCAGACGTGCAGGACTCGAGTTAGACTCGAGGTCCAAATATGATGATTTGAGACTTGCTTGACTAACATATGTGGTATAGTAGAGGGTATATCCAGGTGTGCGGGGTATACCCACTTCTTTTCCTTGCCATTTACAGTATACCCACCTATAAGCCAAAAAGCCATTGAAATATCTAGGACAGTATATCCACTTCCACCTTGGTAACCTACCCATCTAAATAGTAGTACACTCACCTCATCAACTACCACTACACCATTGACTAACATTGACAAAAGACTCTACTTGACTTTGACTTGATATTCATGACTTGAGACTTGACTTAGACTTGAGACAGATGACTTCAAAGGATTTTTGTTTTGTTTAGTTTTGTTTTAATATAAGCATTTTTCTAGACATTGAGAAGCTATTTTTTTGTTTTTTTAACATAACTGGATAATTTCTAGTGCACTGCATACAAACTTAGCAACCTAATAGGATGCAGCAGACCAACAGAGGCCAATACACAAGTAGCTATCATGGAGAGGGCTGATCAAAAAATAATAAAATTTGGATTCAAGTATTATGTTGTCGATAATGGTAGTAAGAAGAAAACAGTAGTATGCAGTCTGCAGTTCAAAAATCAGTGACACAACCACCACAACATCCAACTTCATCATCACTACAAAAGCTAGAAAGAAAGATGTCTTTTCAGCTAACTTATTGGCTGGTCAGATGTTAGCTTTTTAGCTAATGTTTGACCAAAATATCATAATTTCCTATGACTTTACATGTCACTTGCTTGACCTGAGCATTGACTTCACTTGTCTTGCTTGATGGTTAAGACTTGTGACTTGCTTGTGACTTACACATGCTAACATTCATGTCCTATTACTGCATATCGCTAACTCTGCTTTACTGCATGTCACTAACTCGGCTTCTTCTCCAGAGCCTTTGTGCTCCACTGTCTCGCAGGTTCCCTTGAATTGCAGCTACGCCTGGATCGTGTGTTGTGGTTGCGCTGGTGCCGTGGTCCTGCTTGATGCCGACTACTACTGCTGTTATTATTAGTCATACTCATACTGTTATAATACACATATGATTATTATTGTCACATATATATACTGATATATATTAATATATACTTATAAAATATGCTACCAAAATTACTGTTATTATTATTACTAAATTGTAGCTATTGTCATTACTGCTTGCCCTGTATCTCTCTCTGGCTCTCCCTCTTTTTATGTATCATTTTGTCATGCGGATTACTGTTAATTTATCATGTTGATCTGTTCTGGACACACGACATCTATTGCACGTCTGTACGTCCTGGAAGAGGGATCCCTCCTCAGTTGCTCTTCCAGAGGTTTCTACCATGTTTTTTCTCTCTTAATGGTTTTCTGGGGGAGTTTTCCCTTATCTGTTTGAGGGTCCAAAATGTCATGTGCTGTAAAGCCCTCTGAGGCAGATTGTGATTTGTGATATTGGGCTTTACAAATAAAATTGAATAGAATTGAATGTTTTGGTTCAGGTAATCTGTTGTCACATTCCCTATGTGTCTATGTTGCTTCCTGTTGCCAGTTTTATTCCTGCTACTTGGAAAAAGCATCAACCATAAACTATACATTTGTCGTAGCATAATCTTTCTTCACAGAACCTCTTGCAGTCAGACTCTTAAGGTAATGGAGTTTCTTCCTTCTCTTGCACTAAGCAGTTTTTCCTTCAATGTCAGTGAGGGTCTAAGGTAGACAGGCTGTGCTTAAACAACACTTCAGAAACTTCAAGACTGTAAATCTTATCAAGAAATTAAGAGCTAAACAAATAAACTTGACCTGACTTGACTTGACTAGCCCTGCCTTAACAAAGAGAGTAATAATCACTGTCAAAGGATTACTTACACTCATAACCATCCTGTAAGTCCACACAGCGCACTCTGTCAAGACAAGGATTATCAACACACCACAAACGTGTCTCGCACAGCCGGCCAGAGTAGTTAATGGAACAGTCGCACTTGAAGTCATTCCAAGTAACCTGACACTGTCCACCATTGAAACAGGGCTGATCCTGTGCACAGACAAATACAGATGTATTAGATGATGTCTTGTAAAATCTCTCACCTGATGCGACCACAGAGGTAAAAGCTGCAGAGAAGATCGAGCGGTAACTTACAGATCAAAGGTACTCCAGCCAGATTAATGTTAATAGGGTTAAGGCACTACAGTACAGCCCAGCTACCAGACAGCACTGCGAGGTGCTAACACAATTAGCATGGTTCAGTGTTAGAGCCAAACACTGGCAAAACATAAGAGCGTTTATCTGGAGTTTTTACATTAAATCTGAATATTTGGCAGACAGTTTTGTCAATCTGTGATATGATGGATGTGATGCACTATGGATAATTATACAATGTAGCCATGCTATAGTGGCTCTACAGATGGCCCTGTCAGCCCACCACTTTGGTTGAAACTGAAATTTCTTAAAAATTACGAGATGGGCTGGAATTAAATTTGGAACATACCCCAGAGAAGGAATTTAAATGAGTTTCAGAATCTAAGTTGTACACTACCATCAGTCTGAGCTGCACTTCTTACAGTAATACTCATATACAGTAGCATGTTAACATCTAGAGATTGTATTGTAACATGCTGATTTTAATTTGTTATTTTAAAGAAGAACTGAGCCAGGGCTGCTGAAGCTGGAGACATAGCCTACAGTAGGGCCTGTACTAGCAATAGTGGTAGCAGAGGCAGTAGTAGCAGTAGCAGAAAAATGTGTTGTAGAGCAGTGGTTTCCAACTCGTCTAGCCATGGGGTCCAGATTTCTCCTTAGTCATAATATACTCAGCATCACACTTGCATTTGGCCATGTCGTTGAGCTACTTTGCTGTCTCTCTCAAGTTGCTGTCAGTTAGTCACTCACTCTACAGCAGGAAACAGCAAAATAAAAACTCGGTGCCAGAAATTCACTGAACTTAAAGCAGCTGTGCAGAACTTTTTACCATTTATAAAACTGTCCCTAGTTCGTATCACCCCCCCCCTTGAAGATCTGCATATTTATTTGAACCCGACAGCGACAAAAAAGCCTTTCTCTATATGGCTATTTAGTGTAGCCTCGGTCGGGTTGGACACAGCAGAAGTCAGCAAACCAGAGTATCGCACCTGGAGGTGGAAGTAAGTCTGCACGCCCGCAGCGGCCCGCAGCCATTAAACCACCGAAGAAGAAGGAGCCGTGTTTACGAGTAGGATTTAAGAAACAGGCTAACAGACATGTAGTAGGGAGTAGTGAATGATTTCGGACACATTGCACACTCTTGTACAGTAGGTGGTGGTATGCACCTGGAAGTTGTTTGCGATCTGCCAATAAATTGAGAGAAGAAGAAGAGCCATGTTTACAGAGAGTGTTCTTCGAGTAAGCGGTACGCAACGGGCATTGCTGAACACATAACAGTTTTATTAGATGTATCTATAAGGACTTGGTTGTACTTTTGATGTCATGGTGGATAAAGAAGGAGCACCATCTAAAAGAAAAAGAACAGAAGAAGGCTAAACGGGACAGTGATAGGGCTCGAGCCCAAACGCGTGTAAACCTCGGTCAGGCATTCACCAAGTGGAGAGAGCTGAGAGATTTGAAAGGTTTTAAAACTGATCCCGAGTTGGCCCTTTCCCTAATCGACAGGTATGTAATTTTTGTTTTTATTTAGAGAATATACCGCAACTTGTTAGACGTTGTTTCACTTCAATATATGACGACATGGAAGTTATAAGCAAGCTAAATGTAGCTGATATGAACCGTTTTTGTCTAGTAACATTATAACAAACGCCACAAAATTATGTGTGACTGTGACCATGAACACAAATATACAGCAGGCAGTTGTCCTCAGTTTATAAGAAATTCAGAGCTACACCAGAACATTTATAATTATCCTCTCGCTATCCAAAACAAATGCATGCAGTAATTGCCGGTTGCAGTCGAGATTTTACGAATGAAGCCGAAGGCTGCAGTCGGAATTTTACGACACAAGGCTGTGGGTGTCATACCGCTTCGACCAAAAGGGGCGCTATAATCAACGAAAACAGAAAGTTCCGCACAGCTGCTTTAAAAAATAAAGTGTGTTTTTTACAAACTTGACACTGTTGCAAGTCACTTGTGGTCTGTTCAGAATGGACCTGCGACCCATTTTTGGACCATGATTCACCAGTTGGGAACCACTGCTGCAGAGAATAATAGTAGAAATAACACAGGTAATTGCAATGACAGATGAGTAGTAGTTAAGCCAGCCCACTCGCCAGATAAAATGTTGGCAATGTAGTTTTCTGCAAACCACAGATATGTAACATTTGTACGTCATTATGTGGTGGAATTGTTAAAATGCTTCGTTTCCTTACGTTTCAACAATGCTGTGGGTAATGTGTGTTTATGTTTAGGCACAAAAATCACTTGGTTATGGTTAGGAAAAGAACATGTTATGGCTTAAAATGGTGTTTGCTGGTCTCAAAGAGTGGTCTGCAGCTCAGCAGCCATCTCTCCAATGTCTCACACCATCCACCATCCCATCCTGCTCACTATGAGGCAGTAAGCTCATACACATGTAATTAGAACTATGTCACTTTAAGGCCCAGACACACCAAACTAACTTCAGAGAACTAGTGGCAAGAAAGGCCCCCTGCTGCATTACCTCACATCGCCATGTCTTGGTCAAAAAGTTGGCCATGAACACACCCCAAAGACTACAGCTGACGGCCAACCAGCACGTACATACATTCTGCGCTAGGGATGCCGCCGATATTAGCAAAAAACGTGCATCGGCATCGGATCGGACTGCATGGAAAAATGCCAATCCAAGAACTCCGATCCAGTTTTTCATGGAGTCCGATCCACCAGCCCAGTGCTCCGCAATTCAAGCAGTCCATTCCAGTGATCCGCTCCAGCTCTTACTATCAATCCACCAGGCCAGCACGCAGACGGCAGACACACACGGAGGGTAGGAAGAGTGGTGGTCAATTTAGTTAACTGACTATTTGTTTTCTGCTCTGGTTTTTTTGAGAATGATATTTTTATTTGGTTTACACTCTTACTGTTTAAGTAAAGAGCACTGATAGCATTGTTTTGGGCACAATTAGTGAAACTGGAGCATGGATGGACTAGTTGTACAATATTGTGTGTGGTTTTTTTGTCCCCTCTGTTGGTCCCAGGAAACAGCAGCACCAGGCTTGCACTGACACTACTAAAATAACTGAAAAGGAAAGGCTGCATTGTTTGTTAAATGTCAACAATGTCTTGTGGTGTTAATCTATTTTTTATTTATTAGGGGGCCAAAGCACAAGTGTATGGAGTCTTGCTGCTGTGTTAATTTCAATATTAGACATTTTAAAGATTTCTTGTGTCGATTTATTTTCTATTTATTAAGGGGCCAAAGCAGCCAAAGCAAACCAGCTATATTTTTTATTTAATGTTAATGCTCAAGTTTAAAGTTTGTTTATTTAACCCTAAACCCTAACTAACCCGATTAAGTAGTTCTTCTTGTTAGAGTAATATCACTTGATCAAACCTTTTCTAACATGACTGACAACAAAATAAGTGATCGGATCGGGATCGGCCAAAACTCAAGGCTGTAATATTGGTATCGGATCGGAAGTGGAAAAAGCTGGATCGGGACATCCCTATTCTGCGCCTGTGTCTGTAATCTTCATTGATAAACAGAAACCAGAAGACTGTCTTGATGCTACTTAGCCAGTTAGCACAATAACAACACAATCCAGTGCTGAGAGAGAAGAGCATACATTTATATTACTGTGTTGAATGGGCCAAAATAAAACTGATAGGGGCCAACAAGGGGCAATGGTGCAAGACACACCACACCAACTAGGGCAACAGATGCTCATCGACGGTCCAACATTGACCGATGTCCAACTGTCAGCTTGGTGTGTCAGGGCCTTAAGAAACATTGATATGATGAAATGTACAAATGAAACCTATACGTGGTTTGCAGAAATGTACAATGCTACCGTTTAAAGAGATTAGCAGTAGGTTTAAAAGACCCCTGACCAAAATGGATGAGATTAGTATGGGACCCTTTAAATTAAATAAAATTTTGCTGTGGTGAAAAAAAAATCTTAATTGTATTCCCATACTAAATGATCAGTAACATTGCAAAACAAACAAAGTCAGTTCAGCTATTCTCTACAGAAGCACACATTTCAACGAAGTGTGTTTTGTTTTGTAATTGAGGTGATAATCATACAGCAGGCTATACATTTCTCATTTACCTTGCATGTGTCATCACTTTGGCATCCTGGCAGCACATTCTGCTCTGTCCTTGCCTGGTAAACTTCCACCCCCTCCAGATGATCCTCACTGGTCAGATGTTTGTGGTCCAGCCGAATGTCTTGCAGGCAGCCCTTGAGATGTCCACCCCAGGCATATATGCCCTTACCTGCAGGAAGCCCTCCCAAATACGCCACATCCCCTGCCTCTACACTCACGTTCCCTAAGGCGCGATGATACCCTGCTTTAGGGAAAACCACATGGCCAGACTGTACCTTTACAGTCACTAAATTATTGTTGCCGTCAGTGACGAACTTGGCCTCTGACAGCAGTGTGGTGTGAGGGCTGTAAATAGCAACAGTGCCCTCTTTCAGATAGATTGTAAGGTAGGGCTTTCCTTCTCGATGGAGCTGCAGCAGCAGACCGTTGTGTTTGAGGGAGCGCATCAAAAAAGAGATGGTGAAGTTGTCTCCATGGGTATCTGAGATGTTAAATGCAGCATAGCTGGTGGTGTTCTCATGACCAAAGGTCCAGGATGGGTACTCTGAGGAGAGGTTGGAAAGCACAAAGTTGTCAGTATCTTACCCCAACACCTTGGCGCATGCTTACTCCTGTTTCAACAATACTGTATTTTGGCTTCCTTGAAGGGGCACTCTAGTTTTACATATCAGTTTAGACTATTCAGGAGACTATTCAGCCTGTGAAACGGTTTTATAATATCTTGGAAGGCTACGGAGGACCTCTTTCAAAACACATCACTTGTGTGTCTTGGCCTGCACTAAAACAGTACAACTTTTTAAAGGAAATTTTGACATTTCTGCTTTTACCAGGAAGGGTCGCATTATAGAAAGTGCAGGATCCAGTGCTTTTTGGAGATCAATCCATACTGTAGGGGATAAATGTCAGGATATCTTTGCCTCTACTGCCTTGATTTCCTTTTATGTCACATGTGAAGCACTTCAAATTAACTTGCGATTGGAAGGCACTATACAAATAAATTTGCTTGACCTTTGCCTTATTGTTTATTTGGTGCCCCAACTTTATGGCAGTACAACATTTAATTACTGGACTGACACTTTAAAGGTGTAGTGAGTAGGATTTAGTTGAATATATTGGTAGAAATGGAATATAAGTATGTATTCTTTAGTGTATAATCAACTGAAAATGAGAATTGTTGTGTTTTCATTACCTTAGAATAAGTCGTTTATATCTATGTAGGAAGCGTGCCATTGTTTATGGCAATCATCTTGTTGCACTGCCATGTTTCTACAGTAGCCCAAAAAGGACAAACCAAACACTGGCTCTAGATAGGGCCATTTACATTTTTGTGTTGGCCAACATAGTTAGTAGCCCCTCCAAGGTGAACAGCATTGGAAAAACTTTTTTTTTTTTTTTTTATTGAAACTGTTTTAATCAGTGTTTTTACTGGTGTAAATCACTGGGTCGGTTTGTTTTGGAGAGGAAGAGACCTCTGCAGATATTTTGGCTCCTGGTAAAAACCTCCTGAATGTCTGGATCTTAAGTTATCAGAGAAAAAAGGAGAGCAAAGATCAGCAGGTGCTGTGTTAGCTGTCTGTGTCCAACATGTCAAACAGTGTTGGAGAAACACTAATTGGCAAAGTGTTTTTTCAGTCTCAAAAATTACATTTAGACATGATATTTATATGTTGTTGTTTTTCTTTTGTTTTTTTGCACCTGAATTTGTAATTGTAATTTGGCATAACAGAAGCCCTAAACAGCTAATTCTGTTACATAGTGGAAGAGGTAAAGAAGCTCAGACTTCGATTTATCCAGCTTTGTCTAGTCAAGGTGTTTGTTGAGTGATCATTAGGAAGGAGTTTAATTTCATTCATACATTTTGTTTTGTCTTTGACTAGGATACAAAAATCTGCTGTTGTTTTTAGTGTTAGCTGTAAGACAAGAGTCCCACCTACAAAAGCATTCTAACAGTTCCTGTAACACAACTTAGAGACCCCCACTCTGATTGCTAGCAATCTATCCAGGGGTCCATAAGTAGTGCTTTTGTGCTAAAAGTTGAGTGCATTCCTGCAAACTTATAAGGTATACTGTATCTACTCTTACCTTTCTCACAGCTCTCTCCATAGTAGGGCCGATGACACCGACAGCTGGAACGAACCCACATGTCCACACACTGCCCATGCCGCATACATGGGTCATCTTGACACCACTCTTTTTTGCTGCATCCTATTTCCAAGCCCTGGTTCTCCTCTCTGATGAGGTCCTGAGGTAGAAGCAACTTGTGATCAACTTGAAGGTCTTCCATGCAGCCAATGAAGCCCCTTCCGCTGGACATATGGGCTAAATATTCCTGCGGTGCCCCTCCAACATATAGCTGTTCAAAGGAGCTAGGCTGCAGGAAGATCAGATGGTTATAGCCCTCATTTTTCACCAGGCACTCTTCCTCACAGCCAGGTCCTGTTACAACCAAAACCAGCCTCTCATCCATGGTGACAGTGGCCTGGTGCCATTCCCCGTCATTGACTGGGCCAGGGTAAATAACCTGCAGTACCTTTCCAGACTTCACCCTGGCTTGAAGGGAGCCTCCGACAAGCTCCAAGGAGACAAAGTGCTCCATGCTGCCCCGGTAGTACAGCACCATGTCAGGCAGAGTGCTCTTGAATCGGAGCTGCATGTGGAGCCCGTGATTGTGGTCTTTAGTCTCCCTTTTTGTCCTGTTTTTGGAAACAGGCAGCTGCATGTGGACATAGCCCTCAGAGTTGAAAGAGAAGGTGGTGGAGGTGTTGCAGCGTTCTCCAGTCCAGCCAGGCGGACACAGGCAGGTGTAGCTGTGCTCTCCTTCATCGGTTAGCACAGAGACACAACCTGCTTCATGCTGACACTGGTGCTGTTGGCAGCCGACCAGACGGACGTCACAGTCTTGCCCACCCCATGGCTCCTGGCCAGGCTCTGGCATGGGGCAGAGACACCTATAGGAGTTGGCAGCGTCTTTACACGTGGCGCCATTCTGGCAGGGACTGCTGTCACACTCGTTGACATCCACCTCACAGTGCACACCTAAATGAAGAGGCACTCACATTTAGTACTACAACTTCACAGTCAGACAGTCAAAACACAACCTTCACATGGATCACAGTGGAAGTCATATTTAATGATAATTTAATCACATAAATCTGAATAATCAATTAAACAACAATGGGAATGCACTGGGAGCCTGGAGAGTCAAACTACAGTAAATGACTTAATTAGATACAGAGCTAATGCATGTATGTAAACAAATGAACAGGCAGGTTTGTTTAATAATACAATTAGAGGAGAATTAAATTTGCACAAATTTCCTTGATGCAATTAAACCACTATCTGTCATCCTGATTGTATCAGCAAGACATTGAAATTATGCATTATATGCTGGTCAGACAAACTTGTGCCACACACATCCTGTACAGTCCGTCCTGGTTTCAGTAGTCAAACTCACCTAATCAAACCGCATTCTACATTAAGCCCTAGCAGCAGCAGCAGTCAGCTTGCATTAACATAGTCCTTTAAAATACTCTACACCCTAGGAACCCTAAAGCTGTTCATCCTCTCTGTGCCAAGACTCCACCCTCATACACAAGCATGCAACTTTATGCTTTGTTAATTTAGCAATAAAGTGCTGTAGCATACTGTACCTTTCAGCTGCCAGGGCCCCCAGCAGCAGCACAGAAGCAGCAGCAGCAGCAGCATCAACCTGCCTCCACCCATGATCCACTGTGGCAACAACCAACTCACTCCTCACAATGCTGGATGACAGAAGTGACACAACCAGTCTCTCTCTCTCTCTCTCTCTCTCTCTCTCTCTCTTTCTAACTTACAGAGCAAAAGCTCCTTCACTCCTCCACTCTGCACCAGACAGACAGGCAGAAGTGATTACAAAGCAGCCCTGCCTACCTTTTCTTTTCCTCCCTCTCTTTCTCCCTCCTTCATCCCTCCCTGAATCCCTCCCTCACACCCTCTGCTCCTCTCCTGTCTGCAGCCCAGCCCAGGCAGAGCGGTAAGCCTCCAGCGTCCAGCTGGCTCCTGTCAGTGTTTGACAAGAGGAATGCAGTGCTGCACCCCCTCCCTGCTCCATGTGCTTGCCTGTGGAGGCCCTGCCCACTAGCAGCAGAAGCTGCTAGATTGAACCTGCAGAAGGTGCTGCAGGTTCAAGGTTTCAGGCCTGGGCATGGTTGGAACCATACATGGAGCCCATACTGATCTTTTATTAACATTTGAAAAGCAGCTAGTCAGTCTCAACCCCTTGTGATTATATCACATTAGATTTATTGCCTGTGGGAAGACTTAAACCTCAACTGATCAAGCACCAAAATTATTCACCTCAATTAAGAATGGTGTGCTTGTATTTTTCTCATTCATAACATTCATGCTTTCCGAAATATTCAGTGTTTTTCGGGCATCGTTCCCCAATCAAGCAGAAGAGAGGACTGTTAAAACTTGACACAAATTTTTCAAGTTTTTTCAAGCATTTTCAACTCCTATTTCTCCTATCATACATTCATGTAAAAAAAAAAACATTCAAACTTTAAAATGTTCACCATCTTTCATACATTCTGGCTTGTATTCAACTTTCAAATCTTGTTCGAAATTTTTGAAATATTCAAACTTGTTTGAAGCTTGGTAAAAATGCCCTTCTCAGGTTTTTACATTGGTTTCTATGGGATGGAATGTTCATAGCTAGAGATGAGGAGTCAACCGTCAGAGTGCAGAGTACTTCTTAAACATTTCTCTTTAACTCGCTATTAATTTGACCTTAATATGACCATCTGTCAGATTTCAGATGTTATGGCACCTACAATTTTTAAAATCCAACTTTATTGTCAAAATTCTGTGTTTTGTTTTATGCTTGCCAGAGGTGAATGGGAAATGGGACTGTGGGATAAAATTTCAAATTATTGAAAATGTTATGTTTAAATTAAATGTTCCCTTAAAATTGAAACAACAGTTTGCCTAAGTCAAACTATTCCTTCATGTATTGTTTAATTCGGCCTTTATTCATGTAAAGACTTGATGAAAGAAACTTGGCTGAAGGATGATAGAGCAGCTATTATTATTATTCTTCAGAAATGTTTTGCAAATTCCTGTGAGATGGTACATCGTAGAGACATTAAATTTTCACCAGTGATTGGAAGTTGTGTGCAATTGTTGCTCAAGATATATAATGCCATTAGGCCAGATGGGAGCGCTATAATAAAGGTAAAGAAAAATTTGGTTTTGAAAGTCCACCACCCACGCACCTTATGTCAGATTGACTTGAAACTTGGCACACATGGTCAGGTGAAGGGGTCCTACAAAAGCCTGAAAAACCCTGAAGGTCCGCCCACTACATTGTCGGCCATATTGGATTTTTTGTGAAACACCTTTTTGACATCTCCTCCTAAGCCACTGATCCGATTGCACCAAACGTTCGTTATTAAAGACTTTTTGATATGTCATTGCCTTTTGATGATATTGACCAATGAACTTTAGAGGGGGCGTGGCTCAGCACAATTGACACCAAATTTGTAGGAAGTGTCGACATAAGTATCTGAATCGTACCCTGAAAGTTTGATTCAAATCAACCAATAGGGGTGCTACAGTTGCAAAAAGTTGATATGTCATAATCAGCCAAAGATATTTGAACGAATCTTGATTTGCATCATCTAGGGTCATGTCTCAGTTGATGCACAAAATTTGAAAATGATTGCTTAAAGGGGGTGTGGCTTATTACATTAAATCTTAATTTCAAGACATTTCACATTCCAAACTTCAAAACATCATAATAAATCACCAGTGTGTCAAATAAACCTGAAATTATTTCAGCACATCCACTGAACTGTGACAAAACTTTGCTGCGCTGCAACCTATAGTTGATTCAGAAGTCTGTCACTCTATATTTTTAAGAATACGTAAAATTAATTAACATCTCTGTCTCCATAAGTCATCTACAAGCAACCACCATTGCCACAGACATTCTTTGGATACTAGATGTCACATGTTTCAAATGGTGTTCAGATTGGTTTAAGGACCTGGTGACCTATTTTTTTTTAACATTTTAACAATTTATGCCAATTTTAACATTATACTCAAGGAAAAAAAACACTATGGGAAGCACCAGCTATCTCTCAAGTTAAAAGAGCTTGTAGGAAGGCAGAGCGACAGTGGAGAAAATCTAAACTGGAAGTGCATCAGGTCATTTTAAGTCAACAACTGGCTTTACTGAACAAAGAGACCCGCAAAGCTCGTCATATCTATTTTTGGAAAGTTATAACTGTTAAAAAAAAAAAAAAAAACAACCCAAGCACTCTTTTCTCCACTATCAGCCGCCTTCACCCAGAGCCCAACCTGATCAACCTAACATTGAGTTGTGAGGATTTTGCCATCTTTTTCAGGGATAAGATAAGAAACATCAGACAGCGTATTGAAAAAAAAAAGTATTCCCTGGCCTGGTTATGACAAACAACTCTCCTCTTCCTTATAGCTGGAGCACATTTTCTACTGTCAAAAAAGATCAGCTCAGGAAAGTGGTCAATGATCTCAAAACCTCAACTTGATCTTGACCCAATCCCCACCCGTTTGGTTGTTTTGAGGATGTTCTTGAAATTGTAAATCAATCTCTGCTCAATGGTACTTTCTCCACGGCTCTAAAAACCGCTTTTGTCAAACCGCTTTTAGAATTCTAGTGCAGACCTTCTGGTCTTAAGCAACTTCAAGCCCATTTTCTAATCTACCTAATACCTCTACCATAATACTGAAACGGCACTAGTAAAAGTTGTAAATGATCTTAGAATGGCACTCGATAAGGGAAAGACCTCATTTCTTGTCCTTCTCAACTTAAGTGCAGCTTTTGACACCACTGATCACAGCATCCTTCTAAAACGGCTCCATATCAATCTAAACATTTCAGGCTCAGTTCTAACCTGGTTCAAATCCTATGACAGGAAGATGTACATATCATTCTCTTCAGATGATATAAGCCCAATTGAAAAACTGTCATGCTGTATTGATCAAATTAACATGTGGATGTCCCAAAAAAAATATTTATCTTAGAAACACTGCTCATGTGCAACCTCTTTTATCTAAAGAACACAATGAAAAACTTCAGTGTTCATGGTTTCATCTCCTGCAGACATGACTACTGTAAGCCCTTATTCTCAGGCCTCTCAAAGAAATCTTTAAACAAACTGCAGATGATCCAAAATGCAGCAGCATGTCTACTCACTAAGACAAAACATCAAGAACTCATTACTCCAGGTTTAAAGTCTCTTCATTGGCTTCCCCTTCATTTTAGAGCTCACTTTAAAATTTTGCTTTTAGTTTTTAAATCTCTTAATGGTCTGGCTCCTCACTATTTATCTGATATGTTGGCCAAATACATTCCCTCCAGATCCCTAAGATCTTCCACCTCTGGTCTACTGAATGTCCCCCAGAGTAGAACTAAAAGGCATGGTGATGTTGCATTCTGTGTCATTGGCCCTCATCTCTGGAACAGCCTTCCAGAGGACATCAGACGCTCTGAGTCAGTAGATAGCTTCAAACGAAATCTTAAAAAATCTTTTTGGACTTGTACTTTTGTAGCTTTTATTTAATTAACTGGTATCAAACCTAAATTGGATTTTAATGTATGCGTTTGTGTATGTGCGTGTATGTGTGAGTGTGTGATAGAATCTTCTTAATCCCAGTGTGATCAAGGTTGGAACAATAATGCGTTATTTTTTACCTTTTATCATGTTAATCGTATGCTGCTATTTTGTCTCTTTGACAGCCCCCTACTTGTAGTCAAGCCACCACAGCAGCTTCCTGCTTCCTGTTGTGATGCACTTTTTTAAATTGCTTCTTTCACGTTAAAAGACTCCCAGACAGCTCAGTTGACATGTAAAAGTAAAACCCACCTTGTGTCAAATGGAATTAAATTACCGCTGTACTTTGAGTTTGAGCTCCCACCTATCAGCTGAGCCTACAGGTGCAGCTAAAAGACTGATAACAGCAGGCAACTGCATCGCCAAAGCCAGCAAAGCACTAATGTTATTTTGGAGTGAGCA